AAATTCTATGGATTTGCACATGGAATGATGACGCTTCTTGTCCCTGTGTAAGTGCTTTGTTTGACCAACTTTTTGTGCCAGGATGCTGACTCCCCGAGTGACCTTATCAGATAGTACTTATGCATGGTTTATGCTCTCTTTAGGTTTTTTTGGTGTTTTAACTACTTTTTGTTTTAACTGTTTGATTTGGTGAAGTGTCCCTAATGATGTTAATGTTTTATAATTGCGTGTTTTACTGTAATCCCTGTCTGCAAAACAAATTTCTTTTACAGGACAATACAGTTTAAAATGAATGAATTATTAATTACTGAAACTAATGTTATATACAAACAGATGAGAGTCGACATGCCAATAATAATGCTCAAAGATCATACTGGCAAAATACTGAGTTGTATGTTATGTATAATATAATATAATTATAATATAATATTTACATTAGGCTTTATTATATTATAGTACATGTTGTTTTTGTTATCTAGTAATTTCAGTAGCATTACACAAAAGACAACTTTCCGGATATAAATGCCAAAATTTGTGTGACTGTGTGTCACAGCACTGCCAAGGAAACTCATTAACAATTAATAGCATCACTGAGTTGGAGCATGCAATGCAACAGGTGCTCATTGCGTCACAGTTGCATTGTGTGTGTTTGTGTGATCACTGTAGGTTACACTACACTATAAGATAATACAGGGCTGTGGTGGCTAATGAGAGGTGAAGGCTTTAGGGTAACTTAAACAAAGGATTGTTTATTGGTCCTTAAACCAATTGGTTCAATTGAGCTGAACCACTCTCATATGAACAAAATCAAATGATTATCTATCTATCTATCTATCTATCTATCTATCTATCTATCTATCTATCTATCTATCTATCTATGGCTGTCTCTTGCTTACTCTTACTCTTACTTTTAACTACCCCTGATGTCCCTTCTTGCGGTTGTCTCTTCACTCTTTTTCCCTCCCTCTCACTTATTATTCTGTCTCTATCTGCCCATGGTGTCCTCACTTGCCATGCTCTCCCTCTCTCCCTCTCTCTCTCTGGGACAGCAGATGGAGACTATGGCCCAGTTCTGCCTTTTGTTCTGGGTCCCCAGAGAGACCTGTGGCTTTTTGGACAGCACACAGCTCGGCTCCCCATATCTCATACAAAATGCAAGCGCCTTTCTTTTCATTAAAAAAAGGAACCTGTGGAATGCATGTATTCTGAATATGTTTATTGAAATGAGCATGACTGCGGAGGCTTTAAACATGTTGAATGCGCCTCTTGACTAAAGATTTCAGATCAACCCCTGACTTCACTGGATTTTTCTTTTTATGCATAAAATCTACTTCTTATGATAATATTAGCTATATTAGTTCCTCTAGTGCTGCCAACTTTTACTTTACAGAAGTGTCAGTACAGTTTCTGGTTTCACATTGGTATTTATCTTATATTTTGCTTGATGCACTTTAGATTATTTGCCACAACAACAAATTCCTCTTGATACTTAGGAACTTCTAAGTGGTTTGTAGCATCATAGCGTCTGCTGGACAAGAATATCCGTCCTTATGAGGCTCTTAAGGTGTTGGACAGATACAGATCGATGTATAACGCTGTTAAACAACTTCCCCAAAAAACAAACAGAACGACTATCAAAAGACAGCAACGAAGCAGCTGTGACGGTGAAGCTGCTCAGAGATAACATTGGAGCGAAAAGAATAGTCAGGAGCAAGTTAAACTCTACATGATGACAGAAGTTTTTCCTTTTCTTCTTTTACTCACAACAACGTCCACACGCGCCAGTGCTTCTCAGGTTATCTCGAACTCCAGCACTGTTGTTATTTTTCGTAACGTCTGTGCGTAAATAATTAATGTGCGTGAAACAGTGAAACCTCAACCTGCCCAGCATCCCACCTGTTGAGGACAGGCTGTTTTTTTTACCTCCCACTTTCCATAGGAGCACCATTAGTTAAAACCTATCAGTGGTCATTATCTATCTATCTATCTATCTATCTATCTATCTATCTATCTATCTATCTATCTATCTATCTATCTCAGAAGAACATTAATTGATCTTATCTGAAAACCCCATTGAACCCTCTAAAATGCAAAGTGAGTTAAAGGTTCCGCAAAAAGCTCTTGACAAGATGAAGATAGGAATGTGGTAACAATATGTTGCCTTTGATGTGAACCAAGAATCTAATCATAAACATCATGCAAACTAGTTTCAAAACCCAGACGCGGTTGTGGATTTCCTCGTAACTGCTAGTGGTTAAGGCTATTTACATACGACACGAGTGATTTAAAAAAATATAAACAAACGTTTTTGTAGAAATATAAAACGTCCATTAAAGAGGTGTGGACAATACATCCCAGTTTCATTTTATCTAATTTCAGCCTGCGGTTGATACCAGTGATTGTTCAGACTCGGTCAGAGACAAAAAGTAGCTGAGATATTTCAATACTGTCTGTGGCCTCCAGAAATTATTATCATCATTATTATTTTTAAACTTGCTAGAGACTCGTGGTAATCTGCCTTTTATTTTCCCACAGAGAAGTGTAATTTTGTTGTTGTAGCCTATTTCTACAGCATCCCTTTAGTATGTTCACGGAAACTTGATCACATTTCACCGCAACACGAACTCGCTGCAGATGGCTGTCTGATCATACCCAGATACAGTTCCACCTGCATAACTTTTGTTAATAATTTAACACAGCATCTTCATTATATTGCCCTTTATTCCCTGCCTTCCAGAGGCGAGCAAAGGGGCACGGATCGTGATTGGCTAAAAGCAGTGGGTGGGGGACAGAGCTGACAGGGAGCAAACAGGTAGTTCAGGTAATTTCATAAATAATTTCTAAGTATTTTGCTTTTTTTTTTGTACCACGATGCTTTGTCAGCCAGGCTTTTGAAACGCTGTAAATGAGTCGCAAATAGGTTGGAGAAAGAAAAAGACTCACTTTAGCCTGAGTCACACAGCAGGACAAGTTGCCAGTCAGTGTGAGCTAGCGCGTGTGTCCACATGCGCGGGTTTGTTTGAGTTGATGGAGAGAGAGAGAGAGAAATAAAAGAGAAAGAAAAAAGTGGTGTGTGTGTGTGTGTGTGTGTGTGTCTTTCTTCAGTTGAGAAAGTGTGTTCCCTCTCGAGTCAGGTCCTCGGGGACACGGTGGGGACCCGTGAGCGCTCACCAGCTGACAGCGCGTGCTTCATTGAGGCCATCCAACACCTCGGCCCACGAGCCTGCCAACAATAGCCTGAAATTAATGCACACTCCCTATTACCATATCTGGTATTTACCAAATGGACGACGTGGCAACAGTTCAGGAAAAAAAAACTTTTCGCCGAGTGAGGAGAAGTTTCTTGCAAGAAAACAACTCTTGTGCTGTAATTTAATGCAGCGTTTCTCTGCGTAGAAGTCGCAGCTTACATTGCAATTCAGTAGCTTACAGTCAATCACAGGACTGTAGGCCAGGGGGCGCGTGCACCTGCAGCATATGGCGAGCGAGCGCGTGTTGGACATGTTTCATGTCGCTGTTAGTTTGCATAAATTACCTAAGAAGGAATCAAATGTTGAAAGTTTCTTCAATTTAATGGAAATTGTGGTTTCAAGTAGCATATAGATATTTTCCCCACATCAATTTGGTCGTTAAACAGTAAACGTTTTAATTTTATTCATCTTTATTATCTCCAAACCTTAGTAAGGCCCTGTCCATTTACTGTGACTGATTTACTATGGCTGCAGATGTAAATGTCATCGTATGCAATAAATGTAATATCAAAAAAGGTAGTGAAACGTTTTAATTACCTTTATTTTTTTTAAGTAGCCTAATGTATTTATCATAATCTTTTATAGCCTAGTATATGTCTTATTATTATCATTAGGCCTTATTATTATTGATTGTTGTTGTTGATAGCTATAGGCTAATAGTGAGACATAAACCTGTTTAGTTGTTAACAAGCTCTAACAGTCCTAACTCATATAATTCTTTCATACTGAATCCCAAATAGCATTATATTATTACTATTGTTGTAATAATAATAATTATTATTAATATTATTATTATTACAATAGTAATAGAAATCAGCTATATAATAATAATAATTATTATTATTATTAAAGCGTATGTGGAATTTACATGGAAAAATACAATCAAATTTTATTTTAATAACAGGCTAGTTGATGAGTTCATTTCAGTAATCTAAAAGGTTGTGTGGAAACAACGGAGATACAGAGAAACTTTATATTTTCGTTATCTTTTTTATTCCCAACATCAAATTAATATAACAATAAATGGCAAGATTTTAGCTTGTTTAAGCAAATTTAACTATGGAGTTATAAAAAGCAAATCAAATGAAACATAGTAATAAATACATGTCAATTAATCTCATCCAGTGAAAGCAAAAGACACACAAGTTCATCTGAAGATACAAAAGAAAATACAAAAGAAGGCAGCAATGATGGCTACATTAAATAGGCTATTTGTATGGAATTGGCAGTAGGCTACTACACTATCAAACAAATCAAAACAATATTGTTTATGGTTTGAAAACAAAAATCGCATTTCTCAAGCCTCTGGCTTGTAGATTTTTAAAGTGCACATCATGAACTTTTGAAGTTGCAAAACAAAATACATTATACAAACAAATTAACAAATAAAAACATAAATCACAACAAAACGCATTTTACAGCTACAAAATGTTCTTTTACATTATCAAATATAAACAATTATGCATAAAGGTATGATTTTGTGGAAGACAGCTTTTTGGTCGGAGTGACGTGGGAAATACCCATGGCAGTGCTGCTCGCGACATGGCAGAGGGGTCTTCCAGCCACGTCTCCATGGAAAGTGGAAATTATAGGCTATACATTTATTGGCAGAACCGAATTAGGGCTATAATCACATAAAAAAATCATCTTTAGACTATGCAACAAGTTGATAAAATAGAATTATTGTTAAAAATTGAACATGACTTTTTTAAAGAACCTAAAATTTCTATCCTCTCAAAAAATGCATTTTGTTAGCAACAGATAAACAGGTACGATTGACACGGATTGACATTATTTTGCTGTGGACTGCAGTGAACCGTTAACATAGTTATATGTAATTTTTATCTTTAGGCTAATTGTTTAGAAGGAAACAGAGTGATGGTGGTGGCTGGGTAGCTTGAGTTCTGAAAGGTCATCTTCTTCGCTTGAGTGGAGTTCCATCGCTATTTCATCGGAGTCACTGAAGTGGGAGTGCGGGGAAAACTCTCCGTCGCTCCGGGGAGACTCTTTCCTACCACCTCCAGCCGATGTCAGCGAACTGCCTGGCCGATTGGAGGATGAAGGAGACGGCGAACACATCGCTTCTTCAACCATGGCGGAAAATGAGCCGTTGTCGAAGGAGGAGCGGAAAGGCATACCGCTGATGTGGACAGGTAAGCTGCTACCTGACACGGGCACAGCCGCCGCTGTCCTACAGGTTGTCGGTGAAGGGGACGCTCTGTCTTTCGCTCCGTCAAAACTTACGGCGGAAGAAATCATAATGTCACACTTTGGCGAGTTGTTGTTACTGTTGGAGTTTTCGGCGCTGCTATTGTTGGAAGCGACCGGACCTTCGAGCAGCTCAGCCAGTGCGTTGATGTAAATCTGCGCCATCTGTAAAGTTTCATATTTGGAGAGTTTCTTGTCGTTATCAAACGCTGGGATGACGCTGCGCAGCTCGTCAAACGCGTGGTTAAGCCCGTGCATCCGCCTCCTCTCGCGCGCGTTGGCGGCCACGCGCCTCTGTTTCTGAACCCCATTGTTCGGTTTGCTGGACGGGGCTCTCTGTCTCATGGATTCCTCATCATCGGGCCCCGTGAGCGTGCCTTTAAGACGGCAAAGATCCCTGACTTTGAGCGAAGAAGAGGAGGGGCTCTTGGCAGATTTTCTGTAGCTGGGAGGGCTGGGATGGCCTGATGACCCCGGGGAGCCACTCTCTGAAAAATAAAGAGAAAAAAATCAATGAATTTGTCTCGTTTGATAACTTATAATAAAGGCATATTGGCCAACTCTTGTGATAATTTAAGTTGATATTCAAGAGCATAACAATATTTTAACCGTAGGCTACAAAATCAACTTTTCACTTAACCTCTCTGTAAAGGAAAGTAGGCCTATTGCTTTTTTCTGCCCATTTAGCCTACCACCTTCAGTAGGCTATGCAAAAGCGCTTAATCCCAGCTGTCTGTTAAACATGATGTTTCATTGCAGGTGACATTGCTTTGAAAGTTGACCAAATATTTTACGCAGCGAAGAATTTACAAGCAGCGTTTCTCACCGTGGTAGGAGCCGGTGCTTGGGCAGGGCGAGTGCCGCAGGTAGTCGGGTGAAGTGGCGTGTGCCGCGCAGGTGCCAGAAGGCTGCACTGAAGCCAGCCAGGCGCGTGGATCACTGCCGCTGTCCACGAGCGTCAGTCCAGGTTCGTAGCGGGACTCCTCGAGCTGCTGCTTCCCTCCCCTCTCCACCACTCTCGCGCTCAGCTGCCGCGAGCCCAGGACTGCCACTGCCTCCAGTGCGTCTTTGCTCCAGTCGTCCATACTTAAGACCTCCATGTTTCCAAAACGCCAACAGGTAGGCAAAGTTAAACCGGCTATCAATAACTGAAAACAATTTCTTGGAGTCACGCACTTCTATGCTGTCGCACTGTGTGTTTATAACGGTCGCGTGCGGGACTCCTTCTCTGGTGTCTCGCGGCGCGGCTCGGTTTAAAAAGCGGCACGCGTCTGGGAGCCCCCCTCCTCGCGCTGGTCGCGTGTTGACGTCCAATGAGAAGCCTCGGTAAAGCCCGAGAGAGGTGATTATGGCCCCCAGAAGCCGAACTGTTTATGATAACGTAACGATTTAAGGAGTGTTTAACGCAAGGGAGGTAAGGGGAACCTCCCACAGGACGCACGTGCAGTAGGGGAGGCGACAGTTTTTTAAGAAGCGTGCGCGAGACGTGCGCAGCTGGGACAGAATTCCTACCTGTCCGTGTGTGGGTCTTACAACTCAGGCATGTCAGAGGGAGGGAGAAGGATAGAGAGTGAGCTGGAGAGTTTGAAAAGTGTTTGCCATCTTCAACTGTCTGAACTGATTCCCCTCTACTGTTATCCCCGCTGTAAAAGCTGCATTTCTGTCCCATAGGCAGACTTAGGTGTACACGTGTCTATTACAGTCACTATTAGGTAAGTCTACTGAAAGAAAAGAATTCTATAAAAGACAAAACCAACTTAAAGTATGGAGCTCATTCTCAATATAGGCACTATATATACATAGCAACAAGATAAAACAAGTTGTACAAATTATCAGTTAACAGATAAAAAGCTTGACCAAAAACAAAAAACTTTGGACTAAGTAGGCTTGACCAAAAGTAAGCCTAAAAAAAGTTAAAAAAAATCTTTGCGGCTCCTGGGGCTCGCGCGCTCATTGTCAATTCATTCATTCTAAGATCATCTCCAGTTTCCATTTTTCTTTTGTAGCGGTTCTAAAACCTTTTGATCCAGCTCTCGGAACGCCCTGTCGGTAAAAAGGGCTTCACAGGGAACGGAAACATGAGCAGGGGTCTTGCGCTCAACACTGTTTCCGTACAGACACGAGCTGTATGTGGCGCGCGATTACAACTGGAAGAGCGGCGAGGAGAAAGTACACACGTACACATGTACACACACACACACACAGAGAGAGAGAGAGAGAGAGAGAGAGAGAGAGAGAGAGAGAGAGAGAGAGAGAGAGAGCACAATGTGTCCTTAGGCTGTGACAGTACAAGTGATATCACTTCTAATGTCCACTTTTCAATTCAATTATCACGTAGGCCATTTTAATTAAGAGCTGTGAAAAGAAGTCGAAAGGACAAATTATAGCTATAGACAGGAAAAAATAAACTTCCGACAAATTATAACTCGGCCATTTAGGAAACCGTCTACTGATCAAAGCTAAGCCATGCTTACTGAGACGCAAACTTCAAGCCTAACCTGGGAAATGAACAATGGACTAATTGCTAGGTGGAAATTGGCTATTCAACTTAATTGCCATGGATATACCCTCAGCTATATGTTAAATACAGTTTCCCAATGTGTAAGGCACAATGATCAAGGGGGGCAAGGCAAGCCTACCTGTTACAGATCCTTGCTCAGTCACAGCCTTTTGTCAGCAACATTTAATGACGGAAAACGACATTATAGGTAGTAGGCCGTGATGGTATAGACATCATAACTTTGACAACTTTCCCACACTATATGTTAAGAATGGTTAGAAATATGTGCTTCGGTCCGTAATCTGAAAATATGGGAGCTGGAAATTGTGAAGAAAAACACAATTTGTGGGAAGAAATCCCATAATTTCAGAGATAACTTGACATCAGTCTTTTCTATTTTTATTCATGTATTCATCATGGGGACGTCTTGCGGGCAAGAGGTCTGGCGCCGAGCGTTCGCCCCCTCTTCCCACCTACAAGGCCCCCATCCAACGGGCCGGGCCGGGCTCCTGAAGCTACCGACAGGTTGGATATTGTAGCTGGCGATTATTAAAGTGTCGCAGCCACAATGGAGACTCTATGTTCCATTGGTCACGCCTGGGGGGCTCCTCCATGGAGAGGTGGGGGCTCCCATTCCAATGCGCGAGAGGAGTCTGCGTGCTGCCGCTTCTCATTCCCATCTCCCGGGAGACCGAGGCGCGACGGGCACGAGACTGGAGTGAGGGGAGCTGGACAGGGATTTCAAAACGTAACTGTATCCTTTCCTAAATTCACTAAATCCACGATTGGTATTGGTTTTGATGAAATAGGCTGAAAATATAAATGTATTTTGAAGCTCTAAAAGTAGCTTCACCAAGGCAACTTTATTGTCTCCAAACTTTAAGTTTGCCAAATTAATACCTGCAAAGTGCAACTTATTTTAACTGTGTTGGAGAGCAACCATGCATTTACTCAAGCACTGTACTTGAGAGGGAAATATTGCATCAAAATAAGTTGATAAGTAAGCCTATAAAATGTTGTAAACTTTACTCCAGTCTTTGACTGTGTTAGTTACAAGTTACTTTGAGGATCAACATTTTACATATTAAAATAATGGCTAGTTACAAAGTATTATGTGCTATTCATTCAAATATGTATTATTACTATGCCTGCTTACATGCATCAGTACATCAAATATAGGCCTAATATAAAACTTTGTTTTTGCTACTTTAAGTACAATTCTGAATCAAGCACGTATAATTGAGTATTTCTACAATGCTGCCTTGCAATTTTTTGCTTAAGTAAAAGTTATACTTCTTCCACTACAAAAAAAGTTTATATTTTTGTGCCCAACACCCTGCTTGCCCCAGACACTGTAAAACACTTCAAATCAAGGGGAGCATTCACCAAACAAAAAGACAGACAGAATGACTTTAGGTGTAGAATTGCTCTCTATGGGGGTGAAATTACAGAAAATCAAAAATGAATAAGACTACATTAAGGTGCTGACTTATCTCTCTTCTGACCTGTACACTAAGAAGATGGCAGTCACTCACCTATGCCAAGTGGGATTCAAAGCACCACCATCTGATAAATTGATTTTCTACACTAATTTTCAACAATTTTGCCAATGTCTGGCTGATATTCATCTTGTCATAACAACAACCTCCGACAGACATGGCAATCTCACTGACACTTGGGGGAGCTAAACAGTGCCTCTCTCTGGTTACAAAAGGTTACTACAATGCAGTGCTCCATTGAACTTGACAGCAGTTGTCCTCAGCAGTGTGTCTATCCAACTGTTAACAGCAGTACACAGGCCTTTGAAGTGGTGGCCCATTTAAAGTGGAGGACACAAAAGCTCAGCTCATGCTTGAACTTAAAATCTGTTGCACACATAAAAAAAATCATCTCATATCATCCAAGTCAATTAAAACCAATTTACTTTAAAATAGTTAAATTTAACCCAATATTCCACCCTAAATCTATTAGGTTTCATAATTTGCAGCTACAACGGGGAAGATCCTTTTCATTAGCAATTAAAGGACACCCTGCCTGCATCAATCAATTTTACTTGTTCTGGATCAATAGGCTCTTTGAAATTTAAAAGGTCAAAATTACACTGTGGCATGCAAGTTTACAAACCCCCTCAAAGGCTGGGTCAGTCATTATTACAGGTTTGAACTTCAAGACTGAATTTTTATGCAGACTCGTCCACATTTGTAGACTGAATATTCTAGATCTTACTTTGACATCACACATCAGTTGTCCTTTGTTGGCTAATGATAAATGTTGATAAAATAATAATAAAAGGGGGAGTAAGGGAGAGAATCCATACAAAAACCCTGTGGTTACAGCAGCTGTCTTGATGCAAGTGTTTACGTACCTGTACCTGGATCAACTTACCAGTAAGATGTGATGTGTGTACATCTTGTGAGCGCTGTGGAGTGAAGGAACTCTGGCAATCCTGTTGGAAGATGTGAAGTCTGCTGGTCAAGTATTCTTTTGATTATTTGATCATGCCTCTGTTCACTAAAAAGAGCAGACAGTTACACTTGTTATGTGGAAGCTTCTTCAGTGTGAATTTTGATCTCTGAGGAGTTGCGTGACATGCCTTTATCTTTAAATTTACAGATGTTCGGTGTGACATGAAGGAGAACTTGACTTTGGTGTGTTGTTGCCGCCTTGTCAGAGATGAGCCCCTAAATCACAAAGAATAATATATAACAGCAATTATTAACAATTTGCTATTTGAAATTTGCCATCTTTCATTCATGGTTGTCTAGATTAGCAAAGACAACAAATACGATCCCACTGTAGAAAACCTGTTTATTAGACAAATTATACACAGAAAGCTTTGCCACTTGTAACAGAGGCCCAAGTTTGTTCAGTTTTTGAATAATATGCAACACATACAACAAAATAGGCCTATATTAAATACTGTACATCATAAATTTTTGAAAATTATCAAGTAAATCCTGTAGTTCTATGTATGAAATTAAAAATGTTAACAGATAGCAATAGCAAGTTTGTGCATGCTTTCTTTTTAATCAACTTGCCACTTTTTGTTATTTAGCCAGCAAATAATAGAATGAACTCAGGATGACATGAGAAAAGCAAAGAGTTTGTGTGTATGTTGACCAGGGGCAGGACAAGGGAAAACCAATTGCAGTAATGTGACTGCTAAACTCAGCACTAAAGCTCATCATGATATACTCTTCTCTTTTTGTTAAAGAAAAATAGCATCAACATGTAAAATATACATTTTATAATGTCTCTTTCATTTATACTAAATAAAACTTTTTAAATGTCTGTGTCCTATTTGTCATTCAATAGCCATACTGTAGCCTAATATAAGAAAAGAATGCCTAAGAACGCTTGCTTCAAAACACTGTGGCTTGACTGAGTTCTCTACGCACAACATTTTGCGGTTTTAGTTCTTAAAGATAACAAACTGAAAACTTGTTCTAAACAACTAACATTATCAATTATTAATACAGTGTTAGTGAAAAAGGTTTGGTTCCATTTTACCACCCCAGCCTCTAATCCACAAAATATCCTTTAATAGTCTTAATGTACCATTTCCCTTCCCCACCCCAAAATGCACCTTAATGGTCTCAT